AAGCTGCATTTGTACATTCCCTTGGAGCTGTTGATAAAGGGAGAAACTTCTGGATTCAGAGAGTAAACAACATTAAAAGTTACTCAGGCTTGGAATTTGGTTAGGGATTTCTTTTTCTTTTCTTACATCAGATTTTTCTATTTTTATTGAAGTGTAGTTGATTTAAAATATTGCATTAGTTTTGAGTGTACAACAAAGTGATTCAGTTATACATATATACTGTATTCTTTTTTTGATTATTTTCCATTATAGTTTATTACAGGATATTGAATATAGTTCCCTGTGCTAAACAGTAAATCCTTGTTGGTTTATCTGTTTTATATATAGTAGTGTGTATCAGCTAATCCCATAGTCCCAATTTATCCCTCCCCTCTTTTTCCATTGGTAACCTTAAGTTTGTTTTCTATGTCTGAGTCTGTTTCTGTTTTGTAAGTAACTTCATTTTTACTGGTTTTTAGATTATATATGTAAGTGGTATCATATAATATTTGTCTTTCTCTGACTTCACTTAGTATGATCATCTCTGGATCCATCCATATTGCTGCAAATGGCATATTTTTTACAGCTATGTAATATTTCATTGCATATATATACCACATCTTTATCCATTCATCTGTCAATAGACACTTCAGTTGCTTCCATGTTTTGGCTATTAGAAGTAGTGCTGCTATGAACATTGGGGTGCATGTATTTTTTCAAATGAGAATTTTCATCTTTTATGGATACATGCCTGGGACTGAGATTGCTGGATAATATGGTAACTCTATTTTTATTTTTTTAAGAAACTTCCATACTGTTCTCCACTGGCTGTGCCAATTTACATTTCCACCAACAGTCTGAAGGTTCCCTTTTCTCCACACCTTCTAGAGCATTTGTTGTTTGTACACTTTTTGACAATGGTCATTCTGAACTGCTGTCATTGTAGTTTTGATTTGCATTTCTCTAATAATTAGCCATGTTGAGCATCTTTTCATGTGCCTGCTGGCCATCTGTATGTCTTCTTTGGATAAATGACTATTTAGGTCTTCTGCCTATTTTTTGATTGGGTTTTTTTTTTTTTGTTATTAAGTTGTATGAGCTGTTTGGATATTTTGGAAATTAAGCCCTTGTTGGTCACATTGTTTGCAAATATTTTCTCCCAGTTCATAGGTTGCCTTTTTGTTTATGGTTTCCTTTGCTGTGCAAAAGCTTATAAGTTTGATTAGGTCTCATTTGTTTATTTTTGCTTTGATTTCTATTTTCTCGGGAGGCTGACCTAAGAAAACATTGCTACGATTTATATCAGAATGTTTTGCCTGTGTTCTCTTCTAGGAAGCTTATGGCGTTATGTCTTATGTTTAAGTGTTTAAGCCATTTTGAGCTTATTTCTGTGTAAGGTGTGAGGGAGTGTTCTAACTTCACTGATTTACATGCGGCTGCCCAGCTTACCCAACACCACTTGCTGAACTGTCTTTTCCCAATTATATATTCTTGCCTCCTTTGTTAAAAATTAATTAACCATAGGTGTGTGGGTTTATTTCTGAGGTCTTTATTTCTGTTCATTTATCTATATGTCTGTTTTTGTACCAATACCATGCTGTTTTGATTACTATATCTATGTAGAATTTTCTGAAGTCTAGGAGGGTTGTGCCTCCAGCTTTGTTCATTTCCCTCAAGATTGTTTTGGTAATTCTGGGTCTTTTGCAGTCTCATGTAAATTTTAGGGTTATTTGTTCTAGTGCTGTGAAAAATGTCATGAGTAATTTCATAAGGATTGCATTGAATCTGTAGATTGCTTTGGATGGCATGGCCATTTTAACTGTATTCATTCTTCCAATCCAAGAGCATGGGATAGCTTTCCCATTCTTGATTTTCTTTATCAATGTTTTATAGTTCTCAGGATATCAGATTTCTTTATGTAATATATTGATTTTAATTTGTATTAAAATGACTTGATATTCATTGAAACACACATCAACCTCTGACAAAGGCAGCTGTATTTAATGGGCCAAGAGGGTTGGAGGCATGGAGAGAGAGTAAGTAAAAGGTAGAGAGGTATTAAAAACATAGCTAGAAATTATCAATATCATACATGAGCCATATGCAAATAGTTGGAGAAAATTTTGATTTCCCATAAAAAAAAAACAACTGAATGACATGGTGAAATCTGAGGATAAAAAGCTTCCAGGGATATTCCATCCTAGTTTACCTTGTATCCAAAGAGTAAAAATGAATAAATAAACAACCTCAACTCAAGCCCCCAAATCAGAATATTATGGTTATTAAACACTATTTGCTGCCTGTGTCGAGAAGCTTGGGTAAGCATAGAAAAGGGAGAGCAGTCAAATAATCCATGTCTGTGTCCTGCGTGGCTCTGGAGTGAAAACACAGACGTACACAAGATTCACTACCTGATCTGAATACAGAAGGGAGGTACAGAGATCACTCTGCTTTTAAACCTAAATGTGAAAAAATTTTTCATTTTCAAAGAGGAGGTAAAATCAGTCTGAGTGTGTTTCCCCTAATTAAACTCAGGTGTGTTTCTGTGATGGTAACTGTCTATTGAAGCCACAGCTGTAAAGAATACACTTGAGGAAGCTACATTTAAAGTTAGCCACTTCCTTGTCTAAATAATTTCTTACGACTCATTTGGTATTCTGAATAGTCGTCTTTTCCGAAATAAGCTGACTTTTGATAGTAAAGCCTTTATTCTCTACCTGTGGTGAACAGACGTTGAATTGTGAGCATCACATTTATGAGTCGCCTCATAAATTAGGTTTTACTTTTAACTGGCCAGGTGCCAGTAATACAATAGCGTCTTCAAAATTGGAATTATGTCTTGTGTTTAGTGAAGTTTGATTTTATGGACCTATCAAGTCACAGTGATCAGTTGGATCAATGATAAAGATTTATCCTGTTCAAAATAACAGCTTTGCACTGTTCAGGTTGCCTGAGATGGGTGAGAACACACATGCACACAAATACACACAGCCCACTGTAAATTCAGGTGAGGTCCTGACTTATTCCAGCAAGGACCACAAGCATGATGGAAGTGAAGTGGCTACATGCGTGGGGCAGATGCAGCTTCTCAGTCTGACTTCCCCTCGCGTCCCTAGTATGGGTGCATAGCTGTTGGTGACGCTAAATCTATATGGGCTTGTGTCTTTACTCAGGGAGAACTTACATAGTCCATCCTGAAACCATTTGGTTCTCAGGCTAAATGCAAGTGTCTGGAGAGGTGGGGCCTCAGGCTGTGTGTCCATCAAGAACGGGGAGAAAACGGCAGAGATGTGCCCCAGCCTCACCCAACACCATCAGTACCTCTAGCTCCCTCGACTTCCAGAAAGCCCACTGCCACGCTCTTAGGGGTGATCCTAAATTTTGCAAAAATTTAAAAGTACACATGGACTTTGAGAAAAGAGTAGAAGGAAATGCAAAGTATCAGCAGTAATTCATAACTTATCTCTGAATAGTGAGATGGAGAGATTATTAATTTTCATTGGTAATTTCAATGGTTTTTTAAAACTATCCATAATGGTAATGTATTGATTTCATAAACATAAAATAAGTTTTTTTTCTTCTCTTAAAACATACCCTGTGTATCAGATCAGGGTCAGGAGACTTGAGCTCTGTTTCTCCTGGGCCACTTGCTGCCTTGGCAGGCTTGAAAACATCCTGTTTCCCCTCTGGGCCTCGATTTCTTCACCTGTGACCTAAGACCATTAATTGGATCCACAGGACCCTAACTAGGCTGCCCACTGGAAATACCTGGGGTGGGGGGGCTTCCAAAAATCCTGATGCCTGTCCCACGCCGAGAGGAGACCATGATTGCATTTGCCCTGGCTGTGGCCTGGGTTTGGGAATTTTGGAAAGGTCCCCAGGTGATTCAGTGTGAAGACAATTTTGGGGAACCTCTGGATTCGATGATTTCTAAGGCTGTCTTCTGCTGTGACGGTCTGTGAGTCTGTGATTCTCCACATTTGCCTAGGGCCATCCCTGAGTATCAGTTCTATTTTTAGCAATTGCTAGGAAATAATATTCCAAAACTTTCCTAGGTGACCCATTTCAATGTCTTGCAATCATTTCAATCAGAATATATTTTCTTTATGTCTAATCTAAATTCCTGCTGCAGCAATTTAAGGCACGATGGGCAAAGAGAACATGTAGTTCTGATTGAATTTGTTGCTGAGCTCCTTGCATGAACTTACTGCACAGGCTTCGGTCATTTTTCACTCCTGACTAACTTCTCTACTTACCAGATCTTTACCTAGCAAGTTCCTTGTCAAGGTTCTAATTGCGAAGGAGAAATGCAAGTTTACTTTTTGCTCTATCGCCCAGAGTATATTTTCCAGTTTCTGCCAAAATCATTCCTAGTTCTGTGTTCCTGTGACATTCTTTGGGACAGTATGTTTTCAACCTTTATTTTTCTTAACCTAAGAATAATAATTTCAAAGAGAAGATATCACTAGGATTGCAGCTTATCTCTAATAGATAAGCAGTCATCTTCTCTGCTTACTAAATACATATTTCAGTTTTTTCCTATTTCTGTCTGTCATTGATCATATTAATTGGCTGCTAAATTAAATAACTTGTAATATTTTTTACATTTTATTTATATATATTTCATTATTGGTTGAATATTCCTTTCATGTTTTTATTATATTCTTCCTCCTCCCCAGATTTTCTCTATCATTCTTCAGTGTTTTTCTTTCCTTTATTAGTATACTTATTGAAGTTAACAGATTTCAGCAAAAATAATTACAAGGGACGTGTCGCACATAATTTTGGACAGATGCTCAAGGTTCAACTAAAATTATTGAAAATACTGTGCCGCTTAGAAAATAATTCTTTCCTGTGCTGAAAAAATATGGTCTGATGCTCTCTACAATTGTGCCAGAATTCAAAAAGGGTGAATGACGTGAACATAGGCTCTCTTTTAAAATTTTTCTTAAATAGGTCCCCATTTTAGCTCTGAACACTAGCTCTAAAGCCAACTTTGTTCTTTGTACATTTATGGACAGTTCGATGTGAACCCTTATGTCTTGCTCTGCCCCATCCATTTGCAAATGAAAATAGAAACAGTTGCCTGTCCTGGTTACAGGATTCTGGGTACAGGGTCCTGATGAAATCTGAACTACACTGAAGGGATTGGCCCCACATCACAGCTGTGTCACATCTGGGTTTTAGCAGAAAGAATGCAGCCACTTGAGAAGTTGATGGTGCGTGTGTAATTAATACTGCCTCATTGTTAAACATGAGATTGATTGAGCAGCACTGTGATCCAGTAAAATCACTGCAATTCATCGGGCTTCTTCACGATTTTTATAGGATCTTTGAAATATTTTCAAAAGAACAGGAGCTTTTTCCATAAATCCACTGAATGATGCTGACGCTAAAGAACCTTTATGATTTGGCTTGAACCGTACTGTATGCTTTTTATCTCTTCTACACCATTGATGTCTAAGTTGTTTACGTGGTGAAATGTTGATGTTTCTAAAGCCTTGTCAAAGGAGGTTTCTCTCGTGTAAGATATGGATGAGCTGTGCACAGAACAGAAGGCATCTTCTGTTGCAGTTGAATAAGCACAAGTAGAGAGCTCTGAACATGTTGTGCCACCGTGTTCTCTGGGTCTGGGAAACTAACCAGGCACCTGCTCATGGCATTTGGGGGTGAAACATAAGCTAGGGAGAATGTAAGCTCATCTAGGAAGCTGAATTGATGCTCACAAATTGAATAGTGCCTTTATTTATTTGTTTAAAAAAGCATTACACTTGTTAAGTGACTATTCTTTTCCAACTCTACATTAGGCACTGGAAATCCCAAAATGAGAGAGAGCAATCCTTGCCTTCAATGTACTCAAAATCTGGTGGAAGATAATTAAAAATCCTAAAACAGGGACAGAGGAGGTTTCCTAAGAGCAGGCATCACACTCAGAGTTAAAAGAGGGAGTGGGAGCAGAGGGAGAAGGCATTCAAAGCAGAGGAAAGAAAACATGCAAATGCACAGAGGCACAGATGAGTGTCTGGCACAGGGAGGTCCTGCAGGGGTCATGGGGTAAGGTTAGAATGCAGGGTGGGGACGGAGGAGCAGTGGGAGATGAGAGCAAAAGCCAGGCAAGGGAGGCAACAGCCAGATCTATCATGCTTTCCTCCAGCAGGTTTGTGTGGACCATGTACTGTGTGCCAAGCAGTGTGTTGTGCTAGATACTGGTTTTCTCCCACCTCACAGGCCATTCCTCCCCAGTCTCCTTTGCTGGCTTGTCCACTTGTGTGCGTCTACACTAGTCCCAGGACACAGACCTTGCTCCTCCTCATCTCCATCTTCTCCTTAACCATCTCTTTCAGTCCTGTGGATTTAAACACCACCTCTACCCCAATGGCTCTCAGTCCCCAGAGATCCCAAAGCAAATATTCAATTACTACTGATTCTGCCACTTGGGTTCTAGTATTCACTGTATATGTAACATGTCAAAAAAAGCAAACTCTTAAATCTCACATTCCAAACCTTTTCCTACCCCAGTTCAATAACAGAACCTTGATCTGCTCATACCAAAATCCTAGAAGACACTCTTCCTTCCCCTGCAGCCTCACAGCCAATCCAGTAGGGAGGACCTGTTGGAATAATGACCCAACTAAAGGATTCCAACCACATCTATTATCTACCCTACTTACACCTTCCTCCACACCAGCAGTATCCCTGGCAGTATCCACTGCCACAGCCTCGTCCCTTGTCTCCCGGCTTCCAGTCTTGCTCCCCTGAAGAACTCCAAGTTCTCTTCTCAGAGCATGCATCAGATCCTATTACTTCCCTGCTGATAGTGGCAGGTGAAATCTGCCAGTAGTTCCCATCACAAATAAAATGAGATCCAGAGTCCTTACTTATGGTCCACAGGACATGCTCTGACCCCTGCTATCATTCCGTGTTGTCCCTTCTACCCACCCAATGGGACATTCCAGCCACACTGGCTTTTCTGTCCCTTTGTCCCTCCAAACTCATGCCCATCTCCATATTCTCTGCCCACAGTGCTTTCACTTACACATCAGCGCCTTTAAGGGGTCTTCCTTGATCACTAAAAGAAGTCTTCCATAATTGTCCTATGTAATTATTTCTTAAAGTGCTGTAATTATCTGAACTTATATTACTCATTTATCTGTATTTTTATTACCATATCCTTCAGCTTAACTGGAAACTCCATGAAAGGGTGGACTTTATCGTGTTTACTGTTGTGTCTCCACTCCCCAGAATGGCGCACAAACTGCGCTCAGTACAAATGAAGGAAAAGTACAGAATTTATGTGAGTTTAGATGGCATTGAAAAGTAAAATTCAAGCTCCTGTTGAATGTACCCAAAGAGTTCTGTTTATTCTCTTCAGTATAAGGCATTAGCACAATAGCATGACTTAATAGTCTAGCCCTCATTTGGACATTCCTGCCCTATTTTCTTTGGGAAAACTTGACCAAGTAGCGATGTTTATGACTTTGTAACAGCTAGACTGAGGGATGTGTCCCACTTACATTTTTAATGTAAAAAACGTGATGTTGAATTACAGTATATTCAAAGAAAAAACAATACAAAACCCTAGGAACAATTAAGTCTTAACTCAAAAACCACTAATTTATGTCAACTGCTTTTTAAGCTATACCTGATTTTGTAAACAACTTTGAATAATCTTCTTGAAACTGGAATTTTTCCTGAATCTTATTTAGAGTCAGATCCTTCTGTTTCCTTATCTCAAGTCCAAAGGGAAGAAAAATCAGAATCATTACATCACAATCTATCACCTGCCTGGATGAATCCCACCTCTTACACCAGAAAGAGTAGATTTTTCTCTTCTCAAATGAGAAAGTGTCTTCCTTCAACAAGATTATCAGAGTCTAGATTTGCTGATTAGTTTTGAGACTATGGTTTCCATAACAACCAATACGTTTAACAGCCTGTGTTGAAATTTTTTTTCTCCTTAAAAGCCTGTCACTAGAGAGCAAACTACATCAGAACACTGAGGGGGGATAATGGTTTATATATATATATATGGCATTTTCTTCTTGGTAAAATGAATCAATGCATAGGTTAAATTATTTATTTTTCAAATCTCTTATTTTGAGATACATTTATTTGCTGTTACCCTACCATGCTCTCACATTGTTAGGCATCTGTTATTTGTCAAGCCTGCACTTAGTTTTGCACATATGCTATCACATTTAATTCTCAAAATAATCTTAAGAGTTAAATAGTGGTAACCCATTTGTAGAAGGAGAAATTACCCAAAGGTGCATAGTAATACATTAGTAAGTAGGAACAGTCAGAATTCAAACTCAAGCCTTGCAATCCAAGGACAGTGACTAGAAAGTACATAATACTGCCTTTCTCCAGAGATTTTAAGTAGAATAACATTAGTGGATCTAAAATTTAAATCTCTTTATTCCGAGTGAAACTTGCACAACTCATCAGAAGTAAATGAATTTATACCTTCAAGATAAGGGACTGTTAACACTTCTTTAAGAAAAGCTGCCATAAAAGATCTGCATTATTCTTTAATAAACTTGAAGTTGGCTTCATGTGTTTTAATGATGTATCAATATATAGAGGCAACCCTGGTACATCCAAATTAAATGCGATTTAAGGGAAATTTAATTTTCTGAATTTTATTTCTCTGATTTTAACCTGCTCTTAACTCCTCTGTCTCAGTTTTCATTGACATAATCGAAGAAACAAAACACAGGTGGAAAAAAATCTTTCTCAGTACTGAATGATAGGAATGGATACCACTAAAATGCCAAAAAGTATGAAGAATTTCTAAGAATATTCTAAGATTACTTCTGAAATAAAACGCATGTAATATCTTTATTAACAATCAAGGTCTAAAACTTGATTTTTCAGCAAATACTGGGAGGCTAAAGTACAAGTTGAAAGGAGTAAAAAGGATAAATAATCGCTCATCTTAAATGAAGGAATTCAATATTACATTGGTTATTGATACAGTAGAGAAGTAAAAGGTCAAAATTGTTTTTAATTGAACTGTAACTACTAATACAGTAAAAGTTAATGTAACACTTTCAATTTAATAAAGGACAAAACAGGAGAAAGTATGGCAGTATGGCTGGTGATGGAGGAAAGAGCCAAAGTCAGTCCTCTTATCTCAGTTTCCACAATAAATATGAATTAGTTAAATTCTTCTGTTAGAAAACAAAGATACTCTTACAGTTTCAAATATAAATTACAATTATATGTTTTTTAAAAGAAATTCATCCAAACAAAATTATACAGAAAGCATAATTACACAGAAAATTAGTAATAATGAGATGGGCAAAGCTATACTAGACACAATACTAGATAAAGTAGAATTCAAGCCAAAAAGGAGTAAATGGAATATGGACAGTTTACACTGATTACAAGTAAATTTTATATTGAAGATATAAGAACTATGAATTTTTATGCGTTGAATATATAACCAAACATAGAAAATAAAAAGTTGAAAGTCCAAAGAAAGGTCTACAATATGGTAGACCAGGTATCCTTCAGTCTTCTACTGTAAATATTAATATTCAAACACAAATATTGAACATCTTTTTAAGTGTGTGAATTAGCATTAACCAGAGTAAGAGAAGTTCCCAGAGGCCAAAAATGTGAAGTAGGAACATAAATTCAGAATAAAAACTAACACTAGCAGCTACCTTAAATTATCTGTTAATGCCATTTACTTGCAGCTAAGGATTTTAACAGTCACATAGTTGATAATAAACAAAATCTTGGACCTAAAAAAAGTGGAGAGTTAAGTTTTTTACAATCCAGGGTACTTGAAAGCCCACACTTTAAAGAAGGATAAATTGGGGGAGGGGGAGTGTGTATTAATTATTGATAATAGATAAGGATACAGTAACAGAGCAGAAACTTTGAGGAATTCTAAAAAAATATAGAATTGGTTAAGGGAGTTCCCCTAAGAGAATGTGGAACAATGAGCAGTCCTCAGGCAAATTAGGCTATAATTCATACGTGCATGGTCCTAAAAGTATTAAGCCAAGAATTCAATTTAAAGCAGCCCCTCATATTGGTACCTCCAGCCATTTGCCCAATATGCATACATACACAGACAAACACACATACATACACACAAACACATAAACACATACACACGTGTGTACATTAAACCACACATATATGACACATAACATATGCACATATATGATACACATACATAAATATACATGTACATAAACACATACACATTCTCTGTAAAGGAATGCTTCTCAAGCCAAATTTATCTGTGAAAATTTCCTAAAATACTTTAAGTTAAAAGTTGGATATCTCAAAACACACAAGAAGGGAAACAGTGAGAGTCAGAAAAACAAAAGATCATACCTCAACGACTTGAGAATTATCAGATATAGAATGTAAAAGAGTAATGTTTCATATATTTAAATAAAAGAGGGAATTGAAAAATATCATTAAAAGAAATGACTGTCAATAGTAACTGGGCAAATTTGAAAAAAATAGAACTTTAAGAAAAAATGGTTGCAATTAGTGTCTAAATTTTTGTGTTTTTCAGGTGGATAAATATATGTATTAACTTTAGACTCTGATGAAATATGCATGTTAAATTTTTAAGGGTAATCACAAAAATGATAGAAATAGAATGCATGACTTACAATCTATTGAAGGAGAAAAAATAGAAGTAAGGAAGTTTTTAAAATGTAGTCATTCCAAAAGATGGTAGAAAAGGAGAAAAATATTTTAGAAAGGTAGACCAAATAGAAAGAACAAAATAAGATGGAGAAATCTATCCACATACATCAGTTATTGTGTAAATTATCCCATCTCTCCAATTAAATGACAAAGATTAGCTGACTAGATTTAAAATAAAACTAATTCTAGACTGTTTATAAAAGACACATCAGAAACATTAGGACACAAAAAGTCTGAAAGAAAAATCGTGGAAAATATATACCAAGTAAACTGACATAGAAAGCTGACATAGCTATTAGTATCAGATAAAAGAAAAAAAAGACTTTAAGGCAAAAGCAATACTAAAGGCAACAAAGATTTCTAACATAAAAGGCTCAGTTCACAGGAAGATAAAACCATCCCAAACTTGCATAAGACTGAAAAGATATAATCAAAATGTATAAAGCAAAAATGGTTAAAACTAGAAGGAGAAATAAATAACTCTACCATTTTAACAGATATTTTAATATACCTCTCTAAGAAATTGGTATCATGCAGAAAGAGATCAGTAAAAACACAGGATTTAATCTAGTGGCCAAATATAAAACACTACACACAACTGCAGAATATACATCCTTTCCAGACACACCTAGAACAGTTCCAGATTTGATCATGCCATACAGCTAGGTCTCAACACATTTCAAAGAATTTGTTTCATGTAAATCATGTTCTCTGGCCACAGTGCAAAACTCCATGTATTTGGTCATTTAAAAACACTCTTCAGAATAACTCATGACCTCAAAATAGATTATAATGGAAATTAATAAATTCTTCCAACTGAGTAGTGCCAAAATTCTATAAAATGAAACTTGCAGAATATTGATAAAGCAATACGTGTAAGTATTAGATACACTTACATACTTTAGGAGAGGAGACTGAACATTGGTAGATTAAGCATCAACGTAAGACAACTAAAAAGTTAGAGAACAATGAACCCAAAGAAAATAGAAAGGAAGGAATAACAGTAACAGTAGCAGCAGGAATAAATAGAAAACATATAATAGAGAGGAACAAGAAAGCCAAAAACAGGGTTTAAGATGAATAAAATTGATAAACTTCTGATAATGTTGGTTAAGAAAAAAGAGAAAAGGCACAAATAAGTACTATTAAAAGTGAAATGGGAGGCATAGCTGAAGATGAAACAGACTTAAGATGGTTTAAAAAGAAAGTCAGAAGTTGAAAAATTTAGAGAAACGAAATAATTCTCAGTAGAATATAATTTACCAGTACTGACTCAGGAAGAAATATGCAACCTGAATTGTCCTATGACCATTAAATAAATTGAATCATTAAAAGTCTTCCCACCAGCCAGAGACAGGTTTACAAATTTTCTAGCAACCAGGAATATAAATATGAGAAAAAAGAAAGCTCAGCATCTTAGTGGCCACTGCGGCAAAAATAATTATTTTTTTTTAATGACAATACTCAGTATTAGTGGAAGAATGGACTTGTGTGATATTTCAGAAAGGCAATTTCAAAGTATACCAAAAGCTTCCAAATGTTTGTGCCTTTTGTCCCAGCAGCTTAATAATCCTAGAGAAATAATGACTCTTGCATAAGGATACATGCCCAAGGATATTTGATACAAATTTTTATAATAGCAATAGTAGGAGAAGGTGAAATGTATTGAGATAAATCTGTATAATGGGATACTACAGGGTCATTAAAATGATGTAATAGTTGTATATTTATTGACACGCGTTAATGTCCATAATTAAAGGTTAAACAGTCACATACAGTAAAGTTCCACTTCCACAATAATGAAATACTACTACTCAATAAATGCTAGCTATTACAATTATGTTCCAGCTACTCTGCTAAATATTTTGTAAGTATTATGAAATTTACTCCTCACAACTACCCTATGAGGTAGTATTTGACTCCTTTTTATGGATGAGAAAACTGGAGCTTAGAGATGGAAGTAACTGGGCCTAAGACTGAGTGTTAATGAGCAATCGGTTTTATACATAAACGTAGGGGAAAAACCTAAATTAAGATACATCAGAGTGCTCCCAGTTGTTATATCTAGATAGTAGAATAAGTAGGGTTATTTTTTCTTTTTGTTCATCTATTTTTTCTCTGATTTGCCTACCAGGAAACAGTATTACATAATTTAAAAAATATTTTTAAAGTATTTTATTTTAAAAAAATCAACCCCAAAACAAAAGCCCAAATGAAATAAAAGCCCTGTCCTCTCATACTTTGGGTTTAAGGAATACTCTAAAAATACCCTCTTGGTGGGGAGTGTATGGCTCAGTGGTAGAGCAAATGTTTAGCATTCATGAGGTCCTGGGTTCAATCCCCAGTGTCTCCATTTAAAGAATAAATAAATAAAACTAATTACCCCCAAAAAAATTTTTTTAATAAATAGTTGTTTAAAAATCCTTCAATACTCACTTACTCTAGTTTGAAAGATCTGGGTGATCCCTAATTTAAATACATTTTAATCCTTTTATTTCCTGCCATCTGGGCAGTTAGTAGGCTCTGGGGAGTTCCCATACAAAAACAGCATGTTTATAGTTTATTATCATTAAATACTTAGTTAAAATGTGGGACTACAATTATCTCTGAAAACAACCTTTTAATTATTCAAATGCCATGACAGCACAGCTTAGATGCAACAATTGACCTTTACATTTCTCTTGAGTCAGCAATGTTCTTCATATTCTAAATATTCTTTTAAAAAATAAATCACAAGCTCTGTCTCCAAGGGAAAAAAAGGAGGGGGGCCCTAATGCAGTTTTGTCCTTAAAGAACTTAAACGGGGTTGTTTATGCTTGACTAGTTAGCAGCATCCATTAGTTTTTTTTTCTATTTTTTTAAATTGAAGGTTAGTCAGTTTACAATGTTGTGTCAATTTCTGGTGTACAGCATGTTTCACTCATACACATACATACATATATTCTTTTTCATTATAGGCTACTACAAGGTATTGAATATAGTTCCTTGTGATATACAGTATCAACTTGTATACCTATTTTATATAGACTAGATAGTATCTGCAAATTTCAAACTCCTAATTTATCCCTTCCCACTCCCTTTACCCCCTGATAACCATAAGTTTGTTTTCTGTGTCTGAGTCTGTTTTGTTGATAAGTGTCTCCTTTTTTTTTTTTTAATATTCCACATATTAGTGATACCATATGATATTTTTCTTTCTCTTTCTGGCTTACTGCACTTAATATGACAATCTCCAGCTCCATCTGTGTTGTTGCAAATGGCATTATTTTATTCTTTTTTATGGTTGAGTACTATTCCTGTGTGTGTGTGTGTGTGTGTTTGTGTATACATGTACACACATATAGATATACCACAACTTCTTTATCCAGTCATCTGTCAATGGACATTTAGGTTGTTTCCATGTCTTGTCTATTATAAATAGTGAGCAGCATCCATTATTGATTGATATTTTGTGTCACATCTCTTCGGATTTTAATCATACAAGAAAAGTGTTTTGGAGAGAGTATAGTTCAGTGGTAGAGCATGTGCTTAGCCTGCACAAGGTCCTGGGTTCAATCCCTGGTACTGCCATTAAATAAATAAATAAATAAAAACCTAAGACCTCCCCCACCAAAAATTTGTTTAAATAAATTGAAATGTGAAATTATTTTTAAAGTGTTTTTATTAATAAAAAAAAATAACATCACCTAACTGTGGTGTTACTCTTCACAGTTTACAGAGAAAGTTCCCAAATTTTGGAAATGAAAAAAGATTATTTGATTTGGTGACATCACACCCCTAAGGACTGGTGGCACCAGGACAGGAGTCCACATCTTATGACTTCTGGTCTATAATACTTCTCAACAATCAAAAAAAATCCTCCCAAGTGACTGTGAGTTCCTTGAGGTCAAGAGCCATCCTTTTTTAGCTTTGTAATCCAAGAACAAAGCATGGACCTAGAATCTAAAATTTAATATGTGTTGAATTTATTTGAGCTACCCAGTCTATTCTCTGACTGTTTTCCTATAGACAGACTTTTCAGTTAGTCTTTTTAAAAGCCACGATGGCCAAGAAAAATATATTCTTGCATCCAGAGTCTAAGAAATCATTTCAAAATAAGGCATAGTTCTCTGAATATGGACTATAAGAAAACACAAGCCATTTGACACCTCACCAGTTGTTGCGGGACTAATCTGATGATAGTAGAGTGGAGAAGCACAGGCTGGAGTCAAGGAGATCTCTGTTCAGATCTCAGTTCTGCATACTGAGCCGTTGCCCTTGGACAAGTTATTTCAGCTCTGTGATGTCAGCTTCCTTGTTTGTAAAAATAGAAATAATGCACATAAGCCCATTTGAGGAATTAAATGAGAGTGCAAGAAAGGGTACATCTCAGTAAGGTAGGGGAACCGTTCATCCACAACTGGTATTTGTTGCATAAACAAATAGGCAGTAGGTCTCTTGGCTAGCGTTTCAATTAATGGGCAGAACTTGCTAGGGCGAGAGTGAAAAAAACTTCATGGAATCTTCTACTGCCCATTCAAACGCCATTTGTGATCTAGCCTCTGACTGAAATAAAGGAAATTTAGTGACTCACAGCTCTGGAAATAAGTCTGAAATCAAGGTGTTGGCAGGGCCATGCTCCCCCTTAATCCTCCAGGGTGGATCCTTCCTTGCTTCTTCCTGTTTCTGGAAGCCCCAGGTGTTCTTTGGCTTGTGGTAGCATAACTCCAGTCTCTCCCCCAGCTTCACATGTTCTTCTTCCCTCTGTGTCTGTGTCTAAATTCCCTTCTTATAGGGACATCAGTGATACTGGATTAAGGGTCCACCATAAGAACCTCATCTGAACTTGATTACATCTGCAAAGGCTCATTTTCAGATAAGATCACACTCACAGATACCAGAGGCTAGGACTCCACCATATCTTTTGAGGAAACACAATTCAACCTAAAAGAGTTCCATCAATTTTGCAGTCAGTCTAAGATGATACAAAGTCCTCCAGACACTTTTGGTCTCAAGAACAGTGTTGTTTCAATAACTAAGATATCCAGTCCTCTCTAATAATTGTGTGCCTCCTTCCATATTTACGATTTAGAGCTCCTTGCCTCCCTGAACTAGGAGCACCTTCAGGCCTGATCCTTTTAGTGGGGAAGCCACCAGGAGAATGTTCTCTCTCCCGGCTCTGCTTCCTCCACCTCAGCTCAGTAGTCAGAGTTTCTGAGCCCTCCAGGGTGGGACCAGAGCAGTGAGGACTAGGGGAAGGAGCCTAGCTTTATTTACATGGCAGGTGCTGGCATGCCCTGCACGGGTGTTTTCTGTGTCCAGTGAATGTTTAACACAAGCACATCCTCTCATGTTCTGCTTGTGTGGGTCTCTCAGAGATTAGCTGGGAATAGCCAGCTGCAGTTCCAATGACAAGGTCACCAATCCTCAACCTTCCAGGAAATCCTTTGGGGTGGAATTTAAGATGGCTCCGGGTTGGCTCCCCGCCTGGTGGCCCAGACCTGGTCATAAGAAACAAACATCCTTGGCCATTCACTTTGTGAAAATGCTGTCCCCAGCCCCTTCAAATTAGCCATAAAAGGATCCTAATCCTGTAAGGATAACAGGCTGAATCTTGGGGGGTATATATAGAGAGAGAGGGAGAAAAATTTTATTTATATTTACAAAACTATTCCTTTTACAAGTCCTGCACAGGTAGTCAGGCACCTATTGTTTCATTCTTTTTTCCTTTCCTTTTCTTGGAACCACAGCCAAAACTTCAACTGAAAGAGTCCCATTTTAACATTCCATCGCAGTTTCCTTCATTCCTGATAGAGAAGAAGCTGAATGCAGTATCAGTGACCTTGTGTTTATAAACAGAATGAACTTGGTTTGTCTCAGAAAATTAAGTGACAAGAGACAAGCAGAAGGGCTCTGTTCTGCTCTTTTCTCCAACCAAGATAATATTTGCCAAGCAACAACCTTGATTGATCCTTAACGTTAAAGACAAGTTAGAGCTGCAGAGCAGGATGAGGGAAACAAGGTTGCATTAATGAAAAAGGTGTAAGGACAGGAATTAGGAGCTGTGGGTCTGGCCCTGGGTTGGTTATTAACTAGCTACTGACCTTGTAGAAGTCACTTATGAAGGTCAAATAAGTTAATACACTTGAAAGCTCTTTAGAAATTATATATATTCAGGGTGGCAATACTGTTATATTGTTGCTTTCAGTAAGAAGCAGTGCAGTTTTGTCACTAAATCCTTTTAATTTCTTCACTTAGAAAATCTCTGACTCAGTCTTTTCTCTCTGTTCCCTTTGCAATCACCCTCGTCTCAACCTGAATTTCTACAATAGCCTCCTGATTTGTCTCTCTTCTCCCCCAGTCCCGCTCGCACATTTCATCCCCATAGGGAAAGGTTGACTAGATGCTCCTGAGGCTTCTTTCTTCCTGTTGTGATGCTCAGGTTCTATGAGATAATAAACAGGAAAAGAAAACATGGCTGTTCCTTTCCCTACCTCACTTTATCCCTAGTCTTGGCTATAATTCAGATAAGGCACTTGGCTTAACGGCTCACTGTAAGATAGATAAATAAGTAGATAGGCAGGTGGGTGGATAGTTATAAATGCATAAAACTGAGGGGGAAAAAACAGTTAAGCAAAGCTGGGGATTTTTCAGCTACTTCATAGTTGCAGTAACTCCACAAACACGCCAAAGATGGTTGTATTTACTGTTACAACATGACTGTGTGTATGTGTTTACTCTCACTTGCTCTCATCTGTGGCAATGTGGCTTCCACCCCTATTCTATGGACATTGCTCTGGACAAAATCCTCAGGTCTCCATCACTGTCCGCACTCATAGATGCCCTTTAGCCTAACTTAACCTCTTTGCAGCATTTCACGTTGTAAGACACTTCCCCCACTTAAGGGTTCTCTTCCTTTGGATTTTCTGAACCCATCCTCTTTCTCCTTCTCGAGTGAGTTCTTCCTCCTCTGCCTATTCTTGTTGCTGATGTTCCCTGGGCTGCAACCCTGGGCAGCCTGCTCTCCTCTCCTGACACCTCTCACTGGGTGAATGCATCCTCCCGTGTGATTCGTCACCACTCACACGGTGATGACTCCAAAATCCACATGCGCGGCTCTGACTTTCCTCCTGAGACCCAGACTCACAG